AGACTCCATCTGATGCAGCTGGACAACGACGAAGACGACAACAGACATTGTATCCCAGATAATGTACTAAAAATTTGGCGTTCCCCACCTAGGCCCGCCCTCCTCACGGCCACCGTCCACCCCTGCCCGAAGGCGTGCGAGCCTCTCGGCTCTCATACCAAAGGTTCCCGTTCACCCCGCAGGGGGGGGCGCTCACGCCCCCAAAAGAACGGAAAACAAAATTTAAAAACGTGTCTTTTTCACCGTTGTGTGGCGCTAGTCATTAAGGTTTAAGCGTTCCCGAGGGCTCTACTACTACTACTACTACTACTACTACTACTACTACTACTACTACTACTACTACTACTACTACTACTACTACTACTACTACTACTACTACTACTACTACACTACTACTACTACTACTACTACTACTACTACTACTACTAAACTACTACTACTACTACTACTACTACTACTACTACTACTACTACTACTACTACTACTACTACTACTACTACTAACTACTAACTACTACTACTACTACTACTACTACTACTACTACTACGGCTACTACTACGATTCAAAGGCGCGCGAGATCCCAACCGCAATACCTCACGCGTGAATCTGCTCCTGCAAGATGTCCATTGCAATTTCAGATTGCAATACACAAGTATGGTAACACTTCAATGTGTTTTTCTTTATTGGCTTCCTCCTCGTTGTGATCTGACCGTGCCTGGTGCTTTGGAAGGTGTGATCTGACCCGTCCGGTTGTGATCTCACGCGACCGGTTGTTATCTGAACCCATCGCGGAGGAAGGCGGAGGCGCGACCGGTCCAGGGCGCACAGGATTCGCGGGCCGGCGGACTCCGCCTCCCCCCCGTCGCGGTCGCCGCGGCACCCCTCCTCCTCCTCCTCCTCCTCGTCCTCCCCCTCCTCCTCGTCCTTCTCCTCCTCCTCATCATCATCATCCTCCTCCTCCTCGTCCTTCTCCTCCTCCTCCTCCTCCTCCGCCTCCTCCGCCTCCTCCTCATCATCTTCGTCCTCCTACTCTTCCTCCTCCTCATCGTCGCCATCGTCGTCGCTAGTTATCGATATCGTCATCGTCATCGTCATCGTCGTCGTCGTCCTAGTCTTCGTTGTCGTCGTCGTCCTCGTCGTCGTCGGCGTCGCCGTCGTCGTCGTCGTCGTCGTCAGCATCATGATTATCATGATATTCCTTTTGCGGCCACGCCAATTCATCATCGTCTTCGGAGTCGGTGTAATCCTCCTCATCCTCGTCGTCCTCCTCCTGACAGACGTGCATGGTCGTCGAGGTCTCCCACTCTCCCTCTCTCTCTGTCCCCCTCCCTTTGGAGGCACCGCGAGGGTGCGAGAGAGAGAGAGGGAGAGAGAGGGTGCAGGGTGCAGGCTACCAAGAGTACGCCAGCTGGACTGACATACCTCAGCACAAACAAGGACAGGGAAAAACGGCCACACCAGGAAACGCGAGGGGCCCCAGGACCACACACGCCAGGGACCTGGGGGCCCAGACCAAAAACAGCCTACGGCGGGGGCTCGGGGTCCCCTCCTCGCTGACGTGGCTCGAGCCCACGGCTGATCCTGTCGATCGCCCTGAGCTGGTTCCTCCGAGTGCTGAGGTTGTCAGAGAGGCCTACACACTCACGCTTCAGCTTCCTGAGACTATTAACCTGCAACGCTGAACAATGCCCTGCACAACGACGGCAGCAATACATTGAATTAACACGGAACACATCGTGCCCTAGAGCCCCACACTCCAGGATGAGGGGGTCCACATCCTCCCTAGAGGCCCCGTCGAGCACAGGTGGTTGGGAGGGGCCTCCTTCGGCCTCCTCGGGGGCTCCTTGGGGCTCTAAGGCGGCGGCGGCATCGAGGGCAGCGGCCACGCGCGCATCACTCACTGGCATCTCCCACACGTCGAGGGACGTCCTGAAGAACTCATTTGTGAGGGCCTGGGTGATCTTGCTGGGCACACACTTCCGACCCCCACCCACACGCAGATTGTCGAAGGATGCAGGCGTGCGGGCTGAGGCCCCGCACCTTCTACACTTGAAAACGCCCGTCTTGACGTTCTTGTACAATACATGATCATCCGCTTTTTGAAAGAGCACAGGCGCACGAATCTCAACTGGACGGGGCCCTGGAAACACATCTCGTCCGTACTTCTGAGACTCCACCACCCTCTGGATTCCCCAGGACACATACTGAAGAACCAGTCGGTGCTCTTTCAGGGCGGACGCCACGCTCTCAGTCGTCACCTTTGCGACAGCATGTTGAGCAGCGCCAACTCTTGCGAAAAAGTCCGCCCAGGCATTGCCGAGCCAATCTTGAATTTCCGTAGTACCAGCCCCGCTCGACACCACAGCTTCGATGTCTCGATGCGCAGGGGTCCACTGGAATGCTGGAGGCGGCAGCTTCTTGTCCCGCCTCTCAGCTGCAATAAAAATATCTCGCCACACACGTGCATGCTGCTTTCGGCCGTGCTGAAGTTCGTCCATCCAAGCATTCCCCTCCTCCACCAAAGAGAGTAAATCGCTCACGAAAACCTCGTGGTTTGGATGAACAACCAGCCCCATACGTATAGCATATCTTTCAGCACGACCGACTGTCTGGATTAGATACGGCAATGGGCCGAAAATCGCCCGCTTCGGCAAGAAAGTGTCGGGGTCCAACTGGCATAGGCCCCAGCCACACCTCCTGGTTTCTGGCACATTCGACCCGAACCCCGAACCGTCCGTGTACGACTTTGGCCCCCATTGCCCTTCGGTATCGCCCCAGTACAAAACTTCAGAACTCACAGAATCTCTCGGAGGTAGCCCGACAGGAAGCTCAGGGATCCCATAGACAGGGTATGTGTAGTCCCATTCGGGACGACCTGCCCCGACTCCAGAATTCACCAGGCGATCTCGCACTTCGACGAGCTGTTCAGGCAGGGCAGCAAATTCATCATCGGGGTCGCCCTCCAAGAGAGCAGGGCAGTCGTACAGAATGTGTCCCCAGCATTCGTTGATCTGGCGACCACAAGCTGCGCAGGGACGGAATCGGCCTCCAGCCTTCAAATCCAGCCTGGCAGGTATAGGGATACCGTCGGCCCAGTGTGCCTGAATCGCTCCAAGACGCTTCACGCATCGAATCCCTTTTATCGCATACCTGAGGGCCCTGTGCCAGACTGGAATAGCTACTCCGTCACCCACAGTATAAAGATGCCGCAAGAGGCGGCCGTGTTGCCACCTCTGCACTCCCTCGGTCAAGAAGTGCTTGAAATCTGCTGGGCTCAGCGTCCTGAGGTCGTAGACTCGGCCTAGGTCGTCCCTAACAACGTGGCTGGCGACAAGGTCCCAAGAGATCCTTCGAAGCGACAGCCATGTGGCCGCCATGGGGCCCCTGGCCTGGGCCCACGAAGCCTTCTGCGAGCCCCCGAACTTCTCGTTGAGCTTCTCCCAGGCCCTGTGGAGCCTGCTCGGTTGAACCCTGGAGTCCCAGATCCATTCCGAAAACTTAATCACAACCTGCAACGTCGCATGGTATATGGGGTCATACTGGTCGTTCTTGTGCGAGATCAAGTACGCCGTGAGCCCCGTGGAGGATCTGCCAGGAGCCCCATTGAGGACCGCCGCGAACAGCCTGAGCTCCTTCAAAGCCGAGTCGCTCACCCCTGCCACAGTGGCGCCGTGGCCAACTGACGGCAGGGCCCCAGTCCTCCACAACGATGTCACTCGCCTGCCTGTCGCCCTTCGCAGCATGGTGAAACGCTGGCGGCGATCTCTAAAACTGGTCAGGCGACGCTTCTCGATCCTACGCAAAACTCGAGGTCCTGACAACTCGTGGCCTAAGTTCCTCATGTGGGCCTTGAACGGGATCTTCATGGAGCCCATGTACTTACTGACGGTCTTCCAGAGACGTTTTTTCCCAGGGATCCCGCCTGACTTCGCAGCATTTAAAACCATACCCAGCCCCTTGGAATCGTGGACGAAGCCCTTGGCCGCAATGGCCAGATACTTGAGGTCCTCAGGGGCCTTCGAGATGGACTGGAGCCCGACATCATCCATGAGGGTGCGGGGCGTGACCGTGACCGAGACCTGGTTTGCTCTACTGACAGCCCTGTACGTGAGCAGGTAGAGGAGGAAAGTAGCATGCGTGCAACCCGCCAAAATTCCTTGGTAAGATACCTGCCCAACCGATACGCTACCAAACGCGCGAATCCTTCGCGGCTGCTGGTAACTGCACACGAGCATCCACAGCAATCGCATAGAGAACCCCAAGGCTCTCCCTTCTCGCAACAAAGCGTGCGGGTCTACCATCTCGTAGCACTTGGACATATCCAAAAGAATCGTGCATGTGTTCTCCCCTAGCAACTCGGCAATCTCCTGCTGCAAATTGTGGTCGAATGCCGAATCGCTCGAAGTCTGCCCCGATTTCGTGCCCCACATCTCATGGCAGGCATATCGATCTTGCCATTCCCTCGAAATCGGTCGCCTGAGTTTCCCCCATACACGTATCAGTGTGTTACTCAGAACAATTAATCGGTGATCGCCATCGGGTTTCGGCAGTCGCACGAGTTCGCTGTATATTCGATCTGCTGGCCAGCACAACCACCGTTCACATAACATGAAAAGGTTGCCAATAGCTTGGAGCGCGCCGTCGGACAGGACGTCCAGACTCCTCGGCGCCAACCTCGTAGGGCCAGCAGCTGTCTTGGTCGAAAAGGACCTCACCACATTCCTTACATCAGTAAAAGAGATATGGGGAAGAGCGTCCCACTCACTGGAATCCGAGGGAAGATCAGGCGCTTGAAGCCGATGATGCGTCCATACCTTGGACCACTGCCGCAAAGTCTGGTCAGCAAGCTGGTATGGCTGCGACTCCTGACAATATTGGAGTACTTCAGCTTGTGCTCGGACTTTGGACATCGCATGGGCCCGACTGGCCCCTTCCAAGAAAGACTCACGAGCCCATTCTCTCCAAATCTTTTCCGTTCTAGAACGCTCCTGGCCTAAAACCTTGTCGGCCTGGGCGGAAATGGCATCAGTGATACTCTCAAAGTTTGGATCGACAATCATCACCAACCCTTTTTGCAGAAATTCACTGAACTCCTCACCCAAATCCTTGAGCACCCACTGCTCAGCAGAAATCTTGTCACAATATCTCCCAGCCTCGTCGAACGCCTGCAGCACCTTGAAGTACTGCATCTCGGTTAACGTGCACACCGCACTGCATATTCGGAGCCGCTCACAGAAACGGTGCAGCTTATCCTTCTCCGACCGCAAGTGGGCCACCCAACGCTTTGCCGTGGCCCACGCAGCTACCCTGGAGTCTCGATATTCTCGCTTTCGAGGTGGAGTCCATGTCGTTTGTTCCCATTTGAATCTCGGGGGTCCAGCTCGTCCAACGAATTCCTGGGCCTTACCATCGACTTTGTCAAATCTCCCAGCGATCTCGAAATCAACGCCATCAAGTACTGCATCCCACACACGCGGTAAGTCACTGGGCGCCTTCACCGACTCAAACATGCCTTTGATCCCGTCCCAGTTGTAAGGGTACCTCGCACATCCTACTGGTGGGATCGGGGGAAACTTCCTCGGTTCATCAGCAACTCGACACCACATGGGCCTGTCCGACCCATGGACCACCAGCTGCACGGGAAAATGTGGAGGTGGAATGGTGGCTTGGGCATTCATCACCACCGCCTGCCTGTCGAGTCTTGGAACCAAAATGCTGGCGGCCAGAAAATAATCAATCTTGGACGAACCAGCGTCGGTAATGCACGTGGCCTCCGACGGAACAAACGCCAAGCCTGCAAGCTTCTCGACCCAACCTTTGACATTGACGGCATAGAAGTCGCAATTCCAATCTCCGCCTATCACCCAGTCCAGTCCCAGAGCCTGCCACTGAGCAATCCTCTGCACAACTGCCCAAAGTATAGCAAGATTTTCTCCAGTCATGCCAATCGCCGTCACAAAGTAAACGCTAGCAAAGACAATGCCACCTGGGACCCCACATTGCACGTGGGCGCATACCGCTCTTCCAGGATATATCACATGGCTGCCGTCAGGGGGGGCGGTGATGGTGATGTTGGTGCGAGCAAAGACCACCACCCCACTCGAGTTGGACATGGCCGACTCGCCCGTCTCTAACGCTGCTGACCACAGCCCGTGCCAGCCTGCATCCCTCGCCCTATTCTGAAATTCTCCTAAACGGGCCTCCACGACTCTGGTCTCCTGCGCCAAGAGAACCGAGCCCTGGTACTCCGAGAGATACTCAAACAGCGGCCCATGCGAGCCAGCATTGACTGTCGTGATGCAGCAACGTTTAGCCGACCTCGTACCAGTGAGAGGTGGACCATCAGCCTCATCGTTTGGGGCAATGACCGCGGGCTGCCCCCAACCGCCTGAAACAGCTGACCTTGACGCCGAACTGCCAGCACTTGGCCCACCACCAGGGGCAGAGAAATGCCGCGTCGCCGAACCCGCCGCTGACCTGGAACAGGAGGCCGACGCCGAAGCCCAAGCCCCTGGCCCGCTACCAGGGGCAGACAAGAGACTGGTGGTAGCCGTAGTTCCCCGCATACTAGCCTTCCCTGGGGGAGGGCTTCCACTGGCCTCATTCACGCAATCACCTGCGCCAGTCAGCCCGACAACAGGTCCAGCGCTTCCGAGAACACAGCGGCCGCCCTCCATAAGCGAAGGGACGAAGGTAGATTCCAGAAAAGCACCAGATGCAGAGAAATGCCGAGTCGCCGAACTCGCCGCTGTCCTGGTACATGAAGCCGACGCCGAAGCCCCAGAACCTGGCCCACTACCAGGGGCAGACAAGAGACTGGTGGAAGCCGTAGTACTCCGAATAAAAGCCTTCCCTGAGGGAGGGCTTCCACTGGCCTCATTCACGCAATCACCTGCGCCAGTCGGCCCGACAACAGGTCCAGCGCTTCCGAGAGCACAGCGGTCGCCCTCCATTAGCGAAGGGACGATGGCAGGACCCAGAACTGCTCCCAATGCAGAGAACTGCCGAGTCGCCGAACTCAACGCTGTCCCTGAACAGGAGGCCGACGCCGAAGCCCCAGCACCTGGCCCACTACCAGGGGCAGACAAAAGACTGGTGGAAGCCCTTGTACTCCACATACCAGCATTCACATAAGCCAATGGGACAGAAGCAGGTCCCAACCCTGCAAAATTAGAACCATCATCTGAAATAGCACATCGACTCAATGAGAAAGGGCTCCCGCTGGCCTCCTCCACGCAATCACCAGTGCCAGTCATCCCAACAACAGGTCCAGCGCTTCCGAGTACACAGCGGTCGCCACTCGAGCCCAATATTCCTTCCATTCGCGGGGAAGGTCCTGCACTTTCCGAAACAACCATCATTCCACTAACACTTCCAACCATCACACTGAGCACATTGAACACAAGCGAGAACCTACTCGGCCGACGGCTTTTGCCGCTTGCACATGGAGAGGTAGCTCGTCTGCATCTTCCTGATCTTGCCACGCAGCACCTCGGCGTCATCCGAGGGTTGCGCAGGTATCCCTGCTGCATCCAGAGTAGCCCGCAGATCATCCACGTCCATGGACTCAACATGTGGCGCAGGGTCCTCCTCGGGGTCCTCCTCGGGCTCCTCGGGCGTCTGCGGTTGCTGCTGTGGCTCTGGGGTGGGTGGCTGCGCTGCAGGGAGTTCGGCGAGCTTCTTGATCGTGGCCGCCATCGCCTGCAGCTCTTCCAAGAGGTCTGGAGGAACCCCCAGCCCAGAAGCGACCACCCCCAGCTGCTCGACCGACACAGAGAGCGTGGGGAGCATTTGCCGCAACGAAGGAGGCCCTTCCCCACTGCCGTCGGGTGGCTGAGCCTTGGACATGGTTGCCCTCGTCTCACATTCAAGCCGCAGGACCTCCTCCTTGGCCTCAACCAAACGCGTGTCGAGGCTCTCCAAGACCTTCTGGAGCTCGCTGATCTTGCTCTGCTGCTCATCGCGGGCCTTCTGCAGCTGCGTTTCCTTATGCCGAGCACTTTGAAGCCGGTTTGCCAAACTGCGAGCCTGCTCCTCAACAGGTCTGTCAGCAAACAAGGCCGTCTCGAGGGCAGACTTCTCTTCTCGGTACCGTCTGAGCAGCTCCTCGTCCTGGGAAAAGCCTCCACTCGCCACTTGCTTGATGAGACCTTCCAGGTACTTGATCCTGCTGCGCTTGTCACACTGCTTAGCATCAGCAGCCCAAGGAGGAGGGTTCCCAGTACCTGAATCAGGAGAAGAACGCCTTGCTGCTTGAAGCTGTCTGACTTGCTCTTGAAGCTCCGCACACTTGGCCTCGAGCGTGGCAGACCGAGTAGAAGTGCTTGGAGACTCCGACTGCTTGAGATTCTCTTTGAAGCACACGGACTTGTGCAGGCTGCACTGGCGACAGTACATGACCCCTGCTTTGTTGAACCAGGGCTTCTTCGTGACAGCGTGGACGCAGAAACGACAGACCCAGTTCTCACTCTCATTCTGCCGCCGCTTCGCCGCCTTCGAAGACATGGGATGGCTCGGGAGCTCCGAGCCCCGTGGAGAAGCAGTTGCTGGGGCGAACCAGCACTGCAAAGAAACTGATCGGGCGCAAGCGCCCTCGCACTGCCGCGGTGTCAGCGGTGTCCGTTTCTGCCTATGCGGGCTCAGCCCGCCAAGACAAAGCCCTTGAGCCAAAATGGCTACGGAGGGAGAGGGAGAGAGAAAGCGAGAGAGAGAGAGAGAGTCGGGAGAGGATCGGGGTTTGCTAAAGGCACCCCTCGCCCAACGTGCCCCCAGCTGTTTGCTCAATATTGGAGCCCCTGGAGCCCTCTGGGCCTCGTGAGGGGTGCTCTGGAGGCCGTGGGGGCATCCTTGGAAATCCTGGGGGCACCTGGGGCCAGGGGCACTTCTAGCAACACCCGAGCGGAGGGCAGCATTCCAGGCTCCCGGTCCAGGACGGCCCAGGCAGGTTGAGAGGGACGAGGGGCTGGAGCAGCACGAGGGGGCCCTTGATCCCACGGCGGCCTGCGGGAGCAGATCTTTGATGTGTGCGTGTGAGTTCCCACTTTTTTGACACGGGCCTCGGATACGTGTCGCCCCCCCCCCAAAAAAAATGAATGAGAGACGCGAGTCCCAGGTTCGCAGTCGTGGCCCGATAGCGTGACTCCCGAGAACTGTACGGTTTCCCCCGGGGCCGTAGGCGACCCGAGGAGGAGGAGGAGGAGGAGGAGGAGGAGGAGGAAGAGGAGGAGGAGGAGGAGGAGGACGGGTCGCCTAAGCCCTTCGGAGAAACCCTCCACCCAGAACCCCCCAAAGACATCGATACCGCCGCTCTCACAAACCCTTCCCAGGGAACGTCCTGACCAGAATCTCCAGGCGAGTCCAGCCGTGACGGCGAGAGGAGCCCCCCCCTAGGTGGCCCAGAAGGCGACAGGAATAAGTATCTCTGAGACGAGGCCAGGACGATAACAAAATCGGGTGAGCCTACTTCGCGAATCTCTGAGATCCGGCAGCTCTGGAGGATGTCTCGGGCGCCGCGGCCTTCTCAGAGCGTTTTGGAGGCCTTCTCAGAACGCGCCAGAACGGATCTATCTTCGTCCTTAGGGAACCGACCTCTATACACCGACGCTTTTTGCGGCCCTGCACTGAAAACTGCACAGGGAAGCGGATCCTGGTGTATACGGAGTCCTGGTGTATACATTTGTCGCTGTTTCGCCGGGACAACGGGAAAAAGTATACGCCACACCACCCCGACGTCGTCCCCGACCCTCAAACAAGTCCTGGGATTGAAAACCAGCCCGCCAATGGTAGCGTATACCTTGCAATTTCCGACAGAACGCGCCGCAACGGAGTTGTCCTCACCCTAGCCCCGTCCGAATATCCCAAGCCCCCGACGTGATGTTTTTTTCATAGCGTCGACCCTCAGAGGTCTCGATTTATTCCCCTGGACCGGTTTTTCATCCCGAGTCGTTTCTTGACGGTCCCGAGGCCCGGGAAGGGCCCGCGGCAGCCGAGAATGGCGAAAACCATCCCGTCGTGATTTTTTGTTGTTGCAACGCGAGGGAGTCTGGGCATTTATCCTCGCCCTCGCCCCGTCCGACTCCCTGCCCACACCTCACGACCAGCGCAAAGTCGACCCCAGGATTATGATGTTCCAAGCTACTTCAGCATCGACCACCAGAAATAATTTCGAGTACTGGGAGAGTACCGAAGCTGGAGGGCTTTCACGCCGCGGGCCCTGGGAGGCGATAGCCGTCTGATACTATTTCGATATCTTCCTGGGTGCTCGAAACTCTTTCTTGGGATGTGGCCCTTAAGTACGATGGGAGCAACACGACCCCAGGATTTACCCTCGCCCTAGCCCCGTCCGATTCTCTGCCCACACCTCACTGAAGGGACCCTGGAACACACGCAATAAATACACACAAATAGCAGGATTCACAATATTTTCCCATATTTTGGGGGTTTTGTCTTCCCCCCCACACTTCCCATATATTCCCATATTTTCTGGGGAATCGACGATTAATTGTGTCTGTGTGTGTTGTTCCCCTCCTGATCCAGACATCCTCCCCAGACCCCCTCGCGAGGAGGCAAAATCACGACGGGAACCCAGACATGATCGCGTCGTAACAAAATCAGGACGGGATGTTTTCGGACACTTTCGGCCCTGGGGGGCCCTCGCCGGGCCTCGGGAGCGTCAAAAAACGACTCAGGACGAAAAACGGGTCCCGGGGAAGTGGTCCAGACCTCCTTGGTCCACGCGCGAAAAAAAAAATGGAGCAGCCGGATGCCTGGGTCCACATCAGCCCGGGTCGAGCTAAACTCGGGTCCGCCAGGCCTGGCAAGATCCTGCAGGATCATGCGCGCAGGCCGGGGCCAATGCACCCATGGCTCCCTGGACGCCCTCAGGCAATGCAAAAATCACGACGGGAAGTTTTTTTGTCCTGCTTTTCGGTCCTCGGGGCCGTCAAAAAAAAACGACGCGGGCAAGACACCGGTCCAGGGGGGCGGGAGGGGCGAGGCAGCAGGAGGCAGGAGGAGGCAGAAGGCGGGAGGCAGCAGGGCAAGAGGAGGAGGAGGCAAGAGGAGGAGGAGGAGGGGGAGGAGGGGAGGAGGAGAGGAGGAGGAGGAGAGGGGGAGGAGGAGGAGGAGGAGGGGGAGGAGGAGGAGGAGGAGGAGGAGGAGGAGGAGGAGGAGGATCGATGCTATGAAAACATCATGACGTCGGGGGGCTGGCTCTGCAGGACCCTGGCGAGCTCTGGCGCTCAGGCTGGCCCCGGTTTGCACGGGCCCCCGCTGCTGAAGCCCGACGAGGAAGAGGACGAGGACGACGACGACGAGGATGTCGACGAGGATGTCGACGAGGATGTCGACGACGACGACGACGACGACGACGACGACGAGGACGAGGACGAGGACGACGACGAGGACGAGGATGTCGAAGACGAGGACGAGGACAAGGAGGAGGATGTCGAGGACGACGAGGACGAGGACGAGGACGAGGACGACGACGACGCCGACGACGAAAGCCCGGCGCGGAGCAGAAACACAAAAGCAGCGGCAGGCTCCCCAGGACCTGGGCACGCGGGCCGTCTTGCCTGCTCGTCCTCGTCGTCGTCGTCGTCCTTGTCCTCGTCGTCGTCGTCTTCGATACCCTCGTCCTCGTCCTCGTCCTCGTCCTTGTCTTCGCCCTCGTCCTCGTCCTCGTCCTCGTCGTCGTCGTTGTCGTGGTCGTCCTCGTCGTCCTCGTCCTTGTCATCGTCCTTGTCATCGTCCTCGTCGTCATC